AGCAAGCGAACACTGCGTATGTGTGGTTCGTTTGGTTCTTCCCGGAAAGGGCGCAGGCCCAGGGTTCTCTTTTAGAGGTTTACCCCCGGAGATGGGCCGGCGAATTTGTTTTGCGATAAATATCGAGGTCGCGAAGGGCCGGCGAATTAAAATGTGATGATGTCTCGAGCGAAACGCTTGTTGTTCAGAATTTGTTGAGGATGTCTCGAGCGAAACGCTTGTTTTGTGTTATACATTGTCCTCTCCTGGGGACCTGAATTCAACGGATCTCTCAAGTGGATTGCTTGTTTTCACGTGCCCAGGTCTTGAGGATGTCTCGAGCGAGACGCTTGGTTTCACGCCTCCAGGTGGCCCAGACAGATGTCTAGCATTAGGATTTGTTGAGGATGTCTCGAACCAGAGGCTTGTTTTCACGTGTCCAGGTCGCCCAGGCGGATGTCTAGCATGAGGATGTGTCGAGGAAGTCTCGATCGAGACGCTTGTTTGCACGTGTCCAGGTTGCCCAGGCGGATGTCTAGCATGAAGATGTGCTGGGAACGTCTTGAGCGGAACGCGTGTTTCCACGTGTCCAGGTCGCGCAGGCACAGCACAGCCCTCGGCACGGTACATCAATATCGATACCCTTAGCATTGCAGCCTGGCATGTTGCCTGGCACGTTCCGCGGAGCATCCCGTGGCGAGTACCCCTGGCACGTCGCGCGGTGCACGTCCATTGGCACGTTCCTTAGCGCGTCCCCTTGGCACGTCCCGCGGTGCGTGCCCATGGCACGTCCCCTGGCACGTCGCCTGGCGCGTCCCTTGGGACGTTCCGCGGCGCGTCCTCCTGGCATGTCCCCTCTGTCGATTAGTTCTGGGGCAGCTACCATCTGCTGAGGCAGCTCGAGCTTAAGATCCAGATCAGTTCGGTCAGGACTCGGATGCAAAGAGGACTCGATCTATAACGTTAAATCGAGCACAATCGTGGCATGGCACATCGCAGTTCAGCACGGCCCAGCACAACACAGCCGTCGGCACGGTACGGCAAGATCGATGCACTCAACATTGCAATTTGGCACGTTCCGTGGCGAGTCCCCCTGGCACGTCGCGCGGCGCGTCCCCTGGCACGTCCAGCGGCACGTCCCGTGGCACGTTCCGTAGCGCGCCCCTTTGGCACGTCCCGCGGTGCGTGCCCATGGCACGTTCCCTGGCACGTCGCTTGGCGCGTCCCTTAGGACATTCCGCGGCGCGTCCTCCTGGCATGTCCCCTCTGTCGATTGGTTCTGGGGCAGCTGCCATCTGCTCAGGCAGCTCGAGCTTAAGATCCAGATCAGTTCGGTCAGGACTCGGATGCAAAGGAGGACTCGATCCACAACGTTACATCGAGCACAATCGCGGCATGGCACATCGCAGTTCAGCACGGCCCAGCACAGCACAGCCTTCGACACGGTACAGCAAGATCGATGCACTCAGCATTGCAATTTGGCACGTTCCGTGGCGCGTCCCGTGGCGAGTCCCCCTGGCACGTCGCTCGGCGCGTCCCTTGGCACGTCCCGTGGCACGTCCATTCGCACGTTCCGTAGCGCGTCCTTTTGGCACGTCCCGCGGTGCGTCCCCATGGCACGTCCCTTGGCACGTTGCTTGGCTCGTCCCTTGGGACATTCCGCGGCGCGTCCTCCTAGCAGATCCCCTTGTCAATTAGCTCTGGGGCAGCTACTATGTGTTGAAGCAGCTCGAGCTTAAGATCCGGATCAGTTCGGTCAGGACTCGGATGCAAAGGAGGACTCGATCCACAACGCTATAGAGCACAATCGCGGCATGGCACATCGCAATTCAGCACGGCCCAGCACAGCTCAGCCCTGGGCACGGTACATCAAGATCGATACACTCAGCATTGCAATTTGGCACGTTCCTTGGCGCGTCCCGTGGCGAGTCCCCCTGGCACGTCGCGCGGCGCGTCCCCTGGCACGTCCCGTGGCACGTCCATTGGCACGTTCCGTAGCGCGTCCCTTTGGCACGTCCCGCGGTGCGTCCCCATGGCACGTCCCCTGGCACGTCGCCTGGCGCGTCCCTTGGGACGTTCCGCGGCGCGTCCTCCTAATTAGTATGTCCCCCTGTCAATTAGCTCTGGGGCAGCTACTATGTGCTGAGGCAGCTCGAGCTTAAGATCCAGATCAGTTCGGTCAGAACTCGGATGCAAAGGAGGACTCGATCCACAACGCTATAGAGCACAATCGCGGCATGTCGCACAGCACAGCCCTCGGCACGGTACATCAAGATCGATACACTCAGCATTGCATTTGCACGTCTCCCAATCAGGTGTCTTGGAAACGTTGCCTTGCCTCACATTTCTATATTCCTTTCCGGGTTCGTGGGTCGATCATGCTTTGGCTTTGGAAGTTCTAGAAGCTCATGTGCTCCCCGCGGCCTCCGCCCCAACGCCTGCTCCTTCTCCCCCTTCCCCATTTTCCCCTTCGTCTCCTATCCTGTCCTTTTCCTTTTTGGAAAGCAAGAACACCAATAGTACGCAGTGTTTGGCGCCCTCGGTGCCTTGAAACAAACGCTGTGTATTGTTTTTTGTTGTTTGGATTCTGTGGGTCCGGGAAGCACCGAAACATTGTGTATGTGCGATGTTGGGGGTTTCTTTTGTTTGGGAGGCTCTGGAAGAGAAGGAAGATGCGGTGTTGGGGGGGAGGCCGCGGGGAGCACTTGAGATTCCAAGACCCCCTTTCCTCAAAAAAGTCAAGCATACACAGTGTTTCATTGCTTCCCACACCAAGCATACAGAAAAAGCGTTTTGTGGTACAAAGGGCGCCAAACACTGTGTATAATTGGTGCTCTTGCTTTGCAACAAGGAAGAGGAAAGAAAGGAGAAGGAGGAGGAATTGAGGAAGGGGAGAAGGAGGAAGCGCTGGGGGGGAGGCCGCGGGGAGCACTTGAGCTGCCAAAGCCCCTCCCCCCAAAAGGTCATTGTGTTTCGTTGATTCCCTGACCAAAAATACAGTACTGAACAACAGCCCCCCCCCCAAAAAAAAAAACGAGATAACGTTGCGTGGCACCGAGGGAGCCAAACACTGCGTATTCTTGGTGTTCTTGGTTTGCAATAAGGAGGAGGAAAGGAAAGAGAAGGAGGGGGACAGGGACAAAGGGAGAAGGAGGAGGTGCTGGAGCGGAGGCCGCGGGGAGCACTTGACCTTCCAAAACCAAAAATACAAAAATACACCGTGTTTCGCTGCTTCCTAGACTAAGAAAACAGAGGGGGGAAGGAGCAGAGGGAGAAGAAGGAGGTGCTGGGAGGGAGGCCGCGGGGGCGCAGTTGAGCTTCCACCCCCCCCCCCAAAAAAAAACAGAGTTTCGTGGCAACGGGGGCACCAAACACGGTTAAGATGTGACTTTTCCTTGCAAGGGCGCTGGTCTAGGGTTTTCGTTTGGATGGTAATTTGTCCCCCGCGCCATGCTTGAAAAGGGCCGGCGAATTTCCGCTCGTCCATAAGTATGTAAGGTGAGATTTTCAGTTGGAAGAATGCGTTTCGCGCATGCCCGTTCCAGGAAAGTGCGCCCCCCATTTCGGATCTTCTATGAATAACAGAGTTCGCAAACACACGCCTTCACCCGTAAAAACAAGGTACAGAGCGGGCGGCGGCAGAGACGGCTCTCAGCCTCTACGTGCGCGCGCGTGGCCATGGCCTCCAAGCCCCGCCCCATTGGAAATCCAAATCGATTGCCCGCGCGCACGAGGTGGCGGCCCAGGGCTTCAAGGATGACATGAACAAGGAGATGGCCACCGCGCGCGGCACGGCGTTGAGTGAGTGGGCGGCGGAGAAGGCTCGTTTGCTCTCAGAGCGCCCCAAGGCCCGCCTTCTCATGCAGAAGCTTGTCCACCTTAGTATTGTCCCTTCCCTCCTGCGCGATCGCCTCCGTATCAACCTCCTTCGCTCGCCTCAACTCCTGGGCGGCCCCGCCCGAAAAGTTCACGTTACGTCAGATCGAAGAAGAGCCGCTCCAAGAGCTTCTCTCGACCACTTCCCCATGCTGTTCAGCCTGCCCTACTCAAGACCAGGGCGGGTGGGTGGACAACGAGTCGCCGTCTTCATACCACTGCTAGGAGTGCCGATGGACCCTGCATTTTTTGGCTGCTGCCGCACTGACATCCCGTGCGCCCCCAACGCCATGCCTCACTATGTACAGTGCCCCCGCCTTTGGCACGCTGTCAGCAATACTTGGGGTCCTCGCACTCCTGCTCCTGATTCATTGATCGCGCGTCTCGGTCTCAGCAGCGAGAACGCAGACGTCCACACACAGCGCTTGGCATTGGAGCGCACGATGGTAGCTTTTCTTTTGCACAACAGTCACCCGAAGGTGGACCCAACCAAACGGTCCCAGCCCGACGCAGCTTTGGAGAGCGCCCGCTCCGCGAGGGCGACGCTCCTTGCAACTTATAAGCCCGCTGGGCAGTAAGTAGTTGGCCGATGCACCCTGCCGAGCCACGAGGGATGTACAACGGCCATCCCGCGGGCTCCGCGGGCTGGATGTGGCATCGCCTGCTGGACCTGGGCACCAACCTCGCGGTGGGGCACCTGGGTCGGTGCCCGCCATTGCCGGCGTGCCCTCCGTGCCCGACCTGCGCGCTCAGCTGCGCGGTGGTCTCGTGCCCGGCGGCGCCGCCGTGCCCCGCCTGCCCCCCGGCCGCCGCCCAGGCGGCCTCGCCGGTCGCTGCCGCGCCGCCGGCCGCCTGCCGGGCGGCCCCGCCCGCCGCTGCCGAGCCAGCGGCCTCCGAGGCCCCGTGCGCGTGCTGGGGGTGGGTTTGGCTCTGCCTCGGGCTGCCGCGCGGCGCCCTCTTGACGCTCGGCGCTCAGTTCGCCCTCAACGCGGCGAGGCGGCCTGTGTTCTCAGCGCCCTCCAGCAGAGGCAACGGAAGGACCAGCATCAGGGACCTCGACGCGCAGGGCGAGCAGGAGCTGATCGCCACCCCATCGACCCTGAGGAGACGGCATGGCGGCGGCGCTGACGCTTGACGTTCCGGAGCGGCAGATCCTGATAGATTTCTTCGACGACGAGAACGGGTTTCGATGGCACATGAGATTGCTCGTGCTGGCGACGCCCAACCCTGGGCAGTGGATCGCCTGCACGCCAGATCTGAGCATCCAGCTCTTGGACGTGACGGTCCACAGGGTAATCCCCCTCTCTCGAAACGCAGAGTTCCCGCGGCGGGTTCGAGGCGAGGTCTACGCGTTCGACCCGATCGGCGCCGAGGTGCTGCTGCAGATCCGCCGCGAGGCCAAGGAGCTCCTCGCCGTGCACGGGCTCACTGGTGCCGCCGACGCGCAGCCCCAGGGCGGGCGGTGGCTCATCGCGGACACGCCCCACCCGGGCTTCGGCAACCCCCTGCCACCAGCCGCCTTTGCCCGCCCAGAGTCGGTCATCATCCGCGAGGACTCGGGCTCGGCCTACTTGGACGAGGTCTGGGTCGCCATCCAGCGCGTGGCCGACGAGGACGTAGACGACTGGCGCCTCCAGAAGGCTGCTGGCGCTGGCCGAGACCGAGGGCTGCTGGGCGGCGAGCGGATCGGCGGCGCGCCCGTTCTCTCGCTGTCGGCGGCCGCCAAGATCAGCAAGAGGACCCCCCGGCCTGGCTGGCCCTTCCGAGGCTCCTCGTCGGCCCCCGAGCTGGCGATGGCGCTCGCGGCCGCAGGCGTCGTGTTCGTCACCCACCACGCCGACTGGAGGACGAAGTCGGGGGTCAGTGGCTCGTTGGGGGTGCGTCGCACTCATCGTTGGATCTGCGGAGGCCTCGATCACGCGATCACCTACGACCAGCTCGACTATGTCAGCTGCGCGGCGGTCGAGCACCTGACCCGCCGGCTCTTCGAGGTGGAGGCGGCTGTCCGGCGCAGCCCGAAGGCGCCGGACTTCTCCAACCTGGAGGGCATCTTCGCGGCGCCCGCGGCCGAGGACGGCCGCGCGCAGCCCCCGGAGTTCGCGCGGCGGGCGTCGACGCTGCGCCGCGACGAGGCGCAGATCATGAAGCTGGAGCGGCTCTGGAACGAGGAGGTGGACATCTCCCGCAAGACCGCGAAGGACGGCAAGGGCAGGGACAAGGTCGGCAAGGCCGGGAAGTCCGCCGACTCTGCCGACGCCTGGGGGCCCTCGGCCCCGGGGCGCCCAGGTCAGCGGGGCAGGATCAATGGCGACACCTGCCCCATCAATGCAATTTGCCTGGTCGCCCCCTTGGTCGCCTCCATCGGTCAGCTGGGCTTCAGGATGCGCTTCGCGGTGGGCGGCGGCCTGTAGTACGCCTGCTTCATCATGGGCGGGCCTGGCGGTCCGACGACGTTGGAGATGGCCCTCGACCTGATCCGGCCAAGGACTACCGCACCATCCAGGGGCACTGCCACGGCGACCCCTTCCCCCTCCCTTTGAACAGCGAGGTGCTCGCGCGCGGCGGCCATGCTGGGCCTGCTACGCGGTCGCGAGTGCGGTGTCTGCGCGAGACGATTTGGTCTCTGAACGCTCTCGACGCACCATCGCGCGCCCTCCGGGCGCATCAGCCAACTTCGGGCCGCCGCCTCTCGGAGGCGCAGCGCTCGATCATCTTGCGCCTCAGCCGGCGCATCGAGAACCACGGTGACCGGCCCGACGTCCTACCGCCCGTGGCCTACGCCGACCTCATCAAGAGCCATGACCTGTACTCAGGCCAGCCCATGAACCTGAAGCCGCACGACCCTGCGCTGCTCAAGGTTCTCCACAGGAACCGGCAGCCCCAGGACCTGCGCGGCTGCCTCAGCGCTGAGGGCCGCCGCCACCTGGACCAGGCCGACGACCTCATCTTCAGATCCGAGGCCGAGCTCGACGCCCAGCAGGACCGCGAGCTCATCCAGCCCGCGACGCAGCACTGGGACCCCGCGCTGAAGCGCAACCGCCGGGCCCGCATCGACTTCAGCGGCTGCAAGCCGTCGGGCTGGTCAGTTTCCGGCTCTCCATCCGCGGCCGCATGGGCGCTTTTTGCGTGGGCAAGAAGGATGGGCCCCTGAGGCTAGTGCTGGATGGGCGCGAGCCGCGCTCTCTCCACCGCCGACCGCCCCACACCGCCTTGGGCTCAGCTGGGGCGCTCGCTGGCTGAGATCTGTCCGACCAGGCCCTGGCCGCCGAGGGCGTCGACCCGTCGTCGGCTAACATACACGCTGCTGGCTTAGATCTCAAGGACGGGTTCTACCAGTTCGCGGACGACTACATCGCGGACTGGTTCGGTTTCGCTTTCCCCGAGATGGCGTCCGAGTTCGGCGACCCCCTCGTCTATCTGCTGTCGGACGGCAGCTTCGTGAAGGTATCGGGCGACACGAGAATCTACGCTGTCTTCCGTGGCCTCATGACTGGGCGGTCGCGGTCTCTGTTCTTCTGCCAGGACTTGCTGGCTCAGAGCCAGGGGCTTCTGAGCACCGGGTGCGCTGACGGCGACCGTTTGGTCCATGAGCGGCGCCCTGCCCCGCGCGTCGCCCCCGGGCGGCCTCTGGTGCAACCCTACGTTGACAATGCCAACGTGATCGGCTTGACCTTCGGCGATGCCCAGGGCGCCCTGCGCGGCGCGCAGCAGGCCCCCGATTTCCTCGGCATCGACTACCACGACCTGGTCGAGCCCACGCAGCTGCATACCACCGTCGCGGTCGTTTTTGATTGCGTCGAGAGGCGCCTACGCCACACGCCAGCCCGCGCGCGGCGCCTGCACCTCGGCCTGGAGCACCTCTTGATCGCGAGGCGGTCGACTGGCCGTGCGCTTCGCGCGGTACACGGGCACCTGGTGAACCACTTCATGATCCTGAGGCCCGCCCTGGCCGTCCTAGACGAGGGCTACCTGTTCATCGCGCAGCACCTGGACGACTACGCGCCTTTCGGCGGGCCGCTGCTGGACGAGCTCCGCGTGGCCAATGCTCTCGCGCTGTTCGCCGATGTGGACCCGGCCGCCCCCTGGCCCCGCGCGGCTTTCTGCAGCGACGCCTCGGGCGGCGACGGCCACTCGCAGCACGGCAGGCATGCCCTCCACGAGACCGCCTGCTCGGACTCTGAGGTCATGCAGGCCGTCCGGTTTCGAGAGCGTTGGAGATTCAAGATGGAGGAGGAGGAGTCGGTTGCCCCGTGGGCCCCGCGCGAGGCCATCCGTGTCTGGAGCGCCGACCCGCTCGCGACCTCCGACCTGGTTGCCGCGGGCATTGCCGCCCCCGCCTCCAGGCCGTCCGCGGTGGACCGACGCCTCCCCCGCGTGCGCACCGTCCTGGTGCAGGGCTTTGTGCCTGCCCTCGATGACGGCCTCGTGGTGCGAAGCCGTTGGAGGATGATCGCGCGCGGGGCCTTCAGGTACCCTGCCACCATCCACGCCAAGGAGGCGAGGACACAGCTGCTCGGCCTCGCGCGGGCCTCCCGCGATCCACGCATGCACGGCCCGCGCGTCGGCAGCCTAGACGACGACATGGCGGCCCTGCTCAGCTTCGAGAAGGGGCGGGCTCGAGACCGCGCTCTCCTACAGCTCTGTCGAGTGAGCGCGGCCCGCCAGATTGGCTGCGAGATCCAGTGGAAGTTGCGCTACATCGAGACCAAGCGCAACCCTGCGGACGAGGATAGCCGGGCCGCCGAGCTGGGCCACGTACATCCCGACCACCCTCAGCGAGGCTGCCGACGGGCCCTGGAAGCGGTGGAGTCCGCCAACGAGGGCCGCGCGGCAGCTCCCAGGGGGCCCCCAGGCCGGTCACGCCGACTGGCCCCATGTGGCCCCGCCGCTGGCCTCTCCGACGGGCAGGCGGCTGCGCGGGCGGCGCGGATCGGCGCCTTCGCCAGACGGAGGCCTGCCCGGCCGCGCGGGCAGCCCGCGCCGCCTCCGACGTCGGCGTCGGGAGTGCCGGCCGGGCTGTCCCGCGCGCCACCAGTGGCCCTGCCGCCCGCCGAGCAGCCTCGGCACCGGGCGCCCTCTTCGACACGCCAGGCATTTTGCGAGCTCTCCGCGGGCACCGGCAGGCTCACAGCAGCCATCAGAGATGTTCGATTGCACTGCACCCCTCACTTCGAGATTGGAAATGGAGATCGTTTCAACCTTCATCATCATGCTGTTTACCGCACCGTGCCTCGCTGGATCCGTCTCAGAAAGGTCTGGTACGTGCACTTCGATACGCCCTGTACTGTCTGGTCTCTAGCTACTGGGTCTCATCGGCCCTCTCACCAGCATCAAGGGCTGCAAGTGGCCCGTGTCACTTCTCGGCTCCTACGGCTCTGCCACCGTCATGGTGCGCATTGGTCTCTGGAGAACCCAGCTGGGTCCAAGCTCTTCAACTGGGACCACCTCGCGGGCTTCATCAAGGCATCTGGGGGTACCTGGGCTATGCTACACTACTGCCAGTACGGTGGTACGTATGAAAAGCCAACCTACATTGTCTCTAGCCTCCCAGAGATCACCACGCTCGAGCGAGTCTGCCCCAGGGATCACGGTCACGAGATCCTCCAAGGCAAGGTCACCATCTCATCACAATCGGGCGCCACCCGCAGCGATTGGAAGACCAGCCTGGCGGGCGCATACCCACCCGAGCTTTGTCGGCGCTGGGCCCACCTGCTCGCGTCTTGCGCCCCCAGAGGCGCACGATGCGGCGATGCCAGTGACCCTATCTCTGACCGCTGGGAGACTGAGCTGGCGGCCAACTACCCTGGCGCGGGCATCCAGCTCCAGCGCCCGAGGCCCAGCTGCCCGCGCGGGTCCCCGCCCGAGTGGCCTGCCCCGGCGCCGCAGTGGGGCGCCGCCTGGCCCCGGCCCCGCGCCGCTCGCCGCGCGGCAGCGGGCCGGCGCTCACGCTGCCCAGAGCGTGGGAGCTCGACGGCTCCAGCGGGCGGCAGGAAGCAACCAGCCGTACCTGAAGCACCAGCGCGCGCAGCCCTGGACGGTGCAGACGCACCAGGAGGCCCACCGCAAGTTCAGCACATGGGCCACCAGCCAGCGCCTCAGACTGATGAGCATGGACGACCTCGACGCCGCCATGGTCAAGTACTTCGACCACATGTACTTCCAGGGCCTCAGCATCTTCCACGCAAGGAGCGCCGTCCATGGCACCACCTTCGTGAAGGACTACCCTCGCAGGGCTCCCACGACCATGTATCGCACGAAGGACGCCCTCGCCGGCTGGTTCAAGGCAGGACCCGATCGCGTTCGCGATCCGTTCCAGGGGGAGGGCTCTGTCCTCATCGCCGACAACCTCGCCGAGAAAGGCAACGAGGGGGTCGACGCCGCTGGGGCCCTGCTGGTCAGCTACGACGGCTACATCAGGCCCAGCAACACCCTCTCGATCACGGGCCGCGACGTCAGCCAGCGCCAGGCCGGCTCGAACCCAAGCTACCCGAACCCGGTGCTCACCCTTGCCCCGCAGGCCGACGACCGCGGGCAAAAGCCCGCTCCGACCATGAAGTCGGGCGACCACGACTGCACCATTGTCTTCGGCGACGAGGCCAGCAAAAAGGCAGGCCGCGCAGTCTGCCGAGACGCCTTGCTGTAGGCGACACGCCGAGGCCGCCCGGGCAGACCAATCTTCAATTTGTCTCTCGCAAAGTACGAGCAGCTGTTTAACCAGGCCGTCCTCGACACCGGCCTCTCGGCTCTCCGCGTCACTCCGCACTGCGCCAGGCATGGCGGACCGAGCACCGACGCCGCTCTCAAGCTTCGTTCGATCCAAGATATTCAGAAGCGAGGTCTGTGGCGTTCGGCAACTAGTGTACAAAGGTATGCGGAACATTGAACTTTGATGAGACAGATGAATAAAATGAGCTCGAAGCAGCTCAAATCCGTGCCAGCAGCCGTTCTCAGGCTGCAGTCTCTTGTAAAAGTTTAGTGTCTTCCACCCACCCTGTGTCCACGGTTCGATTTACGGGTACGGGAGGTCAGATTATCTCGATAATTCAGGCTGTCTATTATTCTTGAGGCCAAACCTCGCGAGAAGCGACGTGTCCGTGCAACACCCTTGGCAGAAATAGCTTTCAGAGCGCTTCGCGCACTAGCATGTCCTGTCTCACGTCTGCTCCTGGTCGCCCGCGTAAAGTAGCCAACCGGTGCTTTAGCAACGTTCTGTTCCCAACATCTCTTGCTGCGTGCTCGAGGGCGACCGCTATCGACATCGAACGATGCGATGGATCCCATTGCGTTTTTGGCTCATAGCTCCCACCCACCCACACCGAAGGGTTGGGGAGGTCAGATTATCTCGATAATTCAGGCTCTCTATTATTCTTGAGGCCAGAGCCTCGCGAGAAGCGACGCGTCCGTGCAACACCCTTGGCAGAAATAGTTTTCAGAGCGCTTCGCGCACTAGGATGTCCTGTCTCACGCCTGCTCTGGTCGCCCGCGTAGAGTGGCCAATCGGTGCTTTAGCAATAGATATATATATATATATATATGTATGTGTGTGTTTGCACGTGTGCATATGTGTATATATGATCCCAGGTCGAAGGGCCACAGGCTTGCCCCATGCAGATGGGATGCGTCCCAGGGCTCACAGCCCCCCCCCTGATGAGACGGGGGAGACGACGACGACGACGACGACGACGATGACGACGACGATGAAGATGACGACGACGACGACGACGACGACGACGACGACGACGACGACGACGACAACGCGACGACGCGACGACCACGCCACGCTCACAGGGCCCCGGCCGCAAAGGGGGAGACCCATCGCCCAGGGGAGTGGGGTACCGGAAGACATCAGCATGAGGGGAGCGGCCCCGAAAGATTGATTATATGTGTATATATATAGATGAATACATATATATATATATGTGCGTTCATATATGAGGATGGAGGAGGAAGAGGAGGAGGAAGAGGAGGAAGAGGAGGAGAAGGAGGATTTTGGAGTTTGGGGTTAGGGGTTAGGAGCTAGGAGCAGAAAGAGGAGGAGAGGGGGATTCGGAGCAGGGGGAGGAGGGAGCAGGGGGAGGACGAGGAGGACGAGGAGGACGGCGACCACGTCGCCGACGGCGCGGCCCAGGACCACACAGAGGTGGATGAAGATAAGAGGAGGAGGAGGAGGAGGAGGAGGAGGAGGAGGAGGAGGAGGAGGACGAGGGTGAGGATGAGGGTGAGCATGAGGAGGATGAGGATGATAATGATTCATGCTTGATGGATGCTGACGGTGATTGGTGGGGACGATAACGATGCTGGTGATGATGGTGATGACAATGATGGACCGACCCAGAACTCCTCCTCTTCATTCCCGTCATCCACCCAGGACCTCCACACGGGGCCAGAGATGTCCGCCCGCAGCACGTCCCGTGGCCGCCGCGGCGCTCCGCTCGCCACCGCATGCCTGGTGCTGGCCGCCCTGCACGCGGGCCTCGTGGCCGCGCCGCGGCTCCCCGACGTCGTCGTCGTCGACAGCGTCGTCTTCGTCGAAGTCTGCGTCCTCGTTTCGTCCTCATGTCGTCCTCGTCGTCGTCGTCGTCGACATCGTCGTCCTCCTCCTCTTTTCGTTTCTGTTGTCTTCGTCCTCGTCGTCGTTGTCGTCGCCGCCGTCTTTATCTTCGTCGTCGTCACCGTCATCGTTGTCGTCGACATCGTTTTTGTCGTCGATGTGGCCAAGTCGTGGCTCCTTGACGTCGTCGTCGCCCTCGTCGTCGTTGGCGTGCAGTCCTGCATGCGGTGGCCTCCGCCCTCCCCCCATCGGCTCGCCGACGACGTCGACATCGTCTTCGTCGTCGACGACGTCCTCGTCGTCGACGTCGACGTCGTCTTCGTCGTCCTCCTCCTCGTCGTCGACATCGTCGACGTCATCGTCGACGTCGTATCCGTCGTCGTCCTCCTTCTCATCATCGTCGGCATCTTCGTCGTCGTCGTCATCCTCACCGTCGCCGCCTCTCTCCGAATGGGGGGATTGGAACTCGGAATTCCCCTTTCCTCCAGAGACAGGAGGTGGGTCCAACCCCATTCCTCCGGCGGCGCAAGGGAGGAGGATGGGGTGAGCCTTGGCGCATGGGCGGTGCTCGGGTCAGGATTCGGGATGGTGTCGGCTTGGAGGTAAGGATAGGGTCCACATCGTCGGGGAAAGCGATCATACCGCCCTCCCTCCCCTGACAATTAGCATAAGTACGATGTTCCGTGTTACATGTTTTCCCGGAAAGGGCTGAAGCCCAGGGTTCTCTTTTAGATGGTTTACCCCCGGTTTTGACTTGAAGAGGGCCGACGGATTTCCGCTCGATAAAAAAGGTAAAGTCCAATTCGGCGTAAAAAAATGCGTTTCGCGCGTGCCCGCTCCAGGAAAGTCGACCCCCCACCTCGGATCCTCGATGAATAACAAGGTCCGCAGACCACCGCTTTCCTATGTAAAAAAAGGGTGCGGGCCATTTGTCGCAGAATCATCGAAAAACCCAGGTCTGGAGCCCCGACCCCGCGACGCGGAAAAGCGTCCCGCGCGCAGGAATTCAGAGGATGTCTCGCGCGTGCCGCGTCCCGCGCGCAGGAGTTTCGAGGATGTCTCGATTAATTCGCTTGTTTTTCCAGGATGTCCTTGGATCTTGACAGGGTGTCTCGAGCGAAACGCTTGTTGTTCATAATGTGTTGAGGATGCCTCGGGCGAAACGCTGGTTTTGCAAAATTAGGGGATGTCTCGAGCGGGGGCCTCGTGGGGAGCCAGAATTCATAGGATGTCTCAGGCGAAACGCTTGTTTTCACGTCCCGCTCGCAGGAATTCCGAGGATGTCTCGGGCGTGCCGCGTCCCGCGCGCAGGAATTTCGAGGATGTCTCGATTAATTCGTTTGTTTTTCCCGGATGCCCTTGGATCTTGACAGGATGTCTCGAGCGAAACGCCTGTCCCCAGCACGTTCCGTAGCGCGTCCCCTTGGCACGTCCCGCGGTGCGTCCCCATGGCACGTCCCTTGGCACGTCGCTTGGCGCGTTCCTTGAGACGTTCCGCTGCGCGTCCTCCTGGCATGTCCCCCTGTCAATTAGCTCTGGGGCAGCTACTATGTGTTCAGGCAGCTCGAGCTTAAGATCCAGATCAGTTCGGTCAGGACTCGGATGCAAAGGAGGACTCGATCCACGAGGCTATAGAGCACAATCGCGGCATGGCACATCGCAGTTCAGCACGGCGCAGCACAGCACAGCCTTCGGCACGGTACATCAAGATCGATACACTCAGCATTGCAACTTGGCACGTTCCTTGGCACGTTCCGTGGGGCGTCCCTTGGCGAGTCCCCATGGCACGTGGCGTGGCGCGTCCCCTGGCACATCCCGTGGCACGTCCATTGGCACGTTCCGTAGCGCGTCCCCTTGGCACGTCCCGCGGTGCGTCCCCGTGGCGCATCCCCTGGCACGTCGCCTGGCGCGTCCTTTGGGACGTTCCGCGGCGCGTCCTCCTGGCATGGTCCCTTGTCAATTAGCTCTGGGGCAGCTACGATGTGTTCAGACAGCTCCAGCTTAAGATCAAGATCAGTTCCGTCAGGACTCGGATGCAAAGGAGGACTCGATCCACGACGCTATAGAGCACAATCGCGGCATGGCACATCGCAGTTCAGCACGGTGCAGCACAGCACAGCCCTCGGCAGGGTACATCAAGATCGATACACTCAGCATTGCATTTACCCGTCACCCAATCAGGTGTCTTTGAACACGTTGCCATGCGTTACAGTTCTATATTCCTTTCCGGGTTCGTGGGTCGATCATGTTCCCGGAAAGGGCGTGGGCCCAGGGTTTTTTTAAGTTTGTAAATAAACTGGGCCGGCTGATTCTTTTCCTGATAATTATCGATGTTGAGATGGGCCGGCGGATTAAAATTTGAGGACGTCTCGAGCGAAACGCTAGTTTTGCAGAGTTGGGGGATGTCTCGAGCGGGGGCCTCGTGGGGGGCCAGAATTCAGAGGATGTCTCAGGCGAAATGCTTGTTTTCACGTGCCCAGGTCGGCCAGGAGGGCATCCAACATGGTTGTCCGTCGCTGGCGCCTCAGGCGACCGCATGTTGGATATCCCCCCTGGGTGGGCGGGAACCGTGAGTTTTTACGTGTGCAGGCCATCAGGGGGGTATCTAACATGGTGGTCCCGAGCTGGAATCACGTGTTTTCACGTGTCCAGCCCACCCAGGGGTGTATCTAACATGGTGGTCACGAGCTGGAGCCACGTGTTTTTACATGTTCAGGCCACCCAGATGGGTATCCAACATGGTGGTCCTGCGCTTGAACCACGTGCTTTTACGTGTCCAAGCCACCCAGGGGGGTATCTAACATGGTGGTTCCGAGCTGGAACCACGTGTTTTCACTTGTCCAGGCCACTCAGGGGGTATCTAGCATGGTGGTCCCGCGCTGGAACCACGTGTTTTCACGTGTGCAGGCCACCCAGGTGAGTATCTAACATGGTGGTCCCGAGCTGGAGCCACGTGTTTTTACGTGTCCACGCCACCCAGGGGGGTATCTAACATGGTGGTCCTGAGCTGGAACCGTGTGTTTTCACATGTCCACGCCACCCAGAGGGGTATCTAACATGGTGGTCCCGAGCTGGAGCCACGTGTTTTTACGTGTCCACGCCACCCAGGTGGGTATCTAAAATGGTGGTCCCGAGCTGGAGCCACGTGTTTTTACATGTCCACGCCACCCAGATGGGTATCTAACATGGTGGTCCTGCGCTGGAGCCGTGTGTTTTCACGTGTCCAGGCCACCCAGAGGGGTATCTAACATGGTGGCCCCGAGCTGGAACCACGTGGTTTCACGTGTCCAAGCCACTCAGGGGGTTCTAACATGGGGCTTTTGGTTCCTTCTTGGGACTCGGAACGGAACCTCCAGAGTCTATTTGTAGTTGGTATCGGTTCGTTGATTGTTTGGCCTCCAGGCGCCTCTGGGCGGTCCTGGGCCTTCCTGCGCTCCAGACGACAGCATGTTAGATATCCCCCTGGGTGCTGGACCACGTGTTTTTACGTGTGCAGGCCACCCAGGGGGGTATCTAACATGGTGGTCCCGAGCTGGAACCATATGGCTTCACATGTCCAGGCCACCCAGGGGGATATGTAACATGGTTGCCCCGAGCTTGAACCACGTGTTTTTACGTATCCATGCCACCCAGGGGGGATATCTAACATGATTCGTCTGAGCAGGGACCACGTGTTTTAACGTGTCCAGGCTATTCAGGAGTGTATCTAACATGGTTTCCCGAGCTGGCACCATGTGTTTTAGGTGTCCAGGCCATAAAGGGGGGGTATCTAACATGGTTGTCCCGAGCAAGGGCCACATATTTTAACATGATGTAGCGCGTCCCCTCGGCACGTCCCGCGGTGCGTCCCCGTGGCACGTCCTTGGCACGTCGTTTGGCGCGTCCTTTGGGACGTTCCTGCGGCGCGTCCTCCTGGCATGGTCCCCTGTCAATTAGCTCTGGGGCAGCTACTATGTGCTGAGGCAGCTCCAGCTTAAGATCCAGATCAGTTCGGTCAGGACTCGGATGCAAAGGAGGACTCGATCCACAACGCTATAGAGCACAATCGAGGCATGGCACAACGCAGTTCAGCACGGCGCAGCACAGCACAGCCTTCGGCATCGTACATCAAGATCGATACATTCAGCATAGCAACTTGGCACGTTCCTCGGCACGTTCCGTGGGGCGTCCCGTGGCGAGTCCCCATGGCACGTCGCGCGGCGCGTCCCTAGGCACGTCCCGTGGCACGTCCATTGGCACGTTCCGTAGCGCGTCCCCTCGGCACGTCCCGCGGTGCGTCCCCGTGGCACGTCCCCTGGCACGTCGCCTGGCGCGTCCCTTGGGACATTCCCGCGGCGCGTCATCCTGGCATGGTCCCTTGTCAATTAGCTTTGGGGCAGCTACTATGTGCTGAGGCAGCTCCAGCTGAAGATCCAGATCAGTTCAGTCAGGACTCGGATGCAAAGGAGGACTCGATCCACAACGCTATAGAGCACAATCGCGGCATGGCACATCGCAGTTCAGCACGGCACAGCACAGCACAGCCTTCGGCACTGTCCATCGAGATCGATACACTTAGCATTGCAATTTGGCACGTTCCGTGGCGCGTCCCGTGGCGAGTCCCCTTGGCACGTCGCGCGGCGCGTCCCCTGGCACATCCCGTGGCACGTCCATTGGCACGTTCCGTAGCGCGTCCCCTCGGCACGTCCCTCGGTGCGTCCCCGTGGCACGTCCCCTGGCACGTCGCCTGGCGCGTCCCTTGGGACGTTCCGCGGCGCGTCCTCCTGGCATGGTCCCTTGTCAATTAGCTCTGGGGCAGCTACTATGTGCTGAGGCAACTCGAGCTTAAGATCCAGATCAGTTCGGTCAGGACTCGGATGCAAAGGAGGACTCGATCCACAACGCTATGGAGCACAATCGCGGCATGGCATATCGCAGTTCAGCACGGCGCAGCACAGCCCTCGGCACGGTACATCCACACCGATACATTCAGCATTGCGTTTGCTCATCGCCCAATCAGGTGTTTTTGAAACGTTGCCATGCCTTACATGTCTGCATTCCTTTCCGGGTTCGTGGGTCGATCATGTTTGTTTTATTGGTGCACCCTCCCCTTGGCGGAGATGCGTCGTCATGCGCATTCATGCGCATAAAACTATAGCCAGTCAATACGAAAGGCCGTGCAAGTTTACCATCTCACGCGCGCATTTGGATAATGGCGTTGATAGGGATTGGCACGCGCGTGTGGCCCGCATGGAGTTATTTGATAGGGATGGTGCCCCTTTAGCGTGTGCGCGTGGCCCGCATATTTGGTATCATGTGGCGGGGTTGGTGCCCGTTTAGTGCGCGCATGTCCCGCGTGGTATTGTTGGACATGGAAAGTGTGCGCGTCTGGCCCGCATGGTACTAGTTGACAGGGAAAGCGCCCCAGGCTGGATGCGGCCCGGTAGGGGGCCTGGGGCATGCGATACAGGACGCGAATCTCCTCGCTGATCCAATTCTCACAGAGACACCACGGCGCACGCTGTTCAGGGAACCTCCGAGGGAACGCACACATTCCAAAAGTCAAGCGCGCGTGTCTTTTCATCGCAGCTCTCAGGAAGACTGGACCGAAGCCCTGTGGCTTGAAGAAATCAGCATCGTTTTCGCGTTCATCACATACGCTGTCATGGTCCGCTGGAGCGGCGCGCTTGTACGCCGTGCCTTCTCTGTAAACGTCAGCGGTCCCTGGTGGGAGTACAAGCCCTTGCGCCCTACCTCAGGAGAGGCGGCTAGACGCAGGGCCGTTCAGGACGACTGAGCCAGCCCCAGCTTCGGATATTCCGACAGCGACTGGGCAGAAGCAGCACGTGAGTTGTTTGCTTGATCGCATCCGCCAGAAGCCGATCCACACTTCTCGCTTGAAATTCTTTAGAGGTGATCCTTCTCCTGGCCGTATTACTGAATGACGGCCAGTGGGGGGAACGCATGCACACGTGTGCACCAACACGGATGCACATATGCGAGTGTATGTGCATATGAATGCGCATGTGTGCCACGTGTATAAGATGCATACCACAAAACACACACACACACAAGTTTGGATTCAGGCGCACAGGCACAAGGACATTTTGTTTCATACACAGTAAGCTCAGATGGGAGGCAGACGCACAGACAGGCAGCTACAGATGCGGACACCGACATCGGCACAGACTTTGAAAAGACATGGGCTCAGTCATACAGGCAGGCACAGAGAGGCAGACAGGCAGACAGAGAGACTGACATGCAGACAGAGAGATGAAGATAGAGAGAGAGAGAGAGAGAAACAGACTTCATGACAGAAGCGGACAGGAAGGCCGCGGGGCAGTTGGGCGGCACAGATACATACATACATACATGCATGCATACATAGATACATACATACATACATGCATGCATACATACATACATGCATGCATGCATGCATACATACATACATACACACATACACACATACACACATATACACATACACACATACACATATACATGCCTACATACATAAATGCATACATACATGCATGCATGCATGCATGCATACATACATACACTCATATACACACATACATACAGGCATACATACAGGCCTTCAGGCATCATACCTGTATACATCCAGGCAGACATGAAGACACATGCTTATATCATATACATGCGCATAGCTATAGATAGATGCAGACACTGTTACGTACATGTTTACACGCGCACGTGTACATATTGTGCATGCAATCAGATAGGCGCACTCGCCTGATCCATTGTGAAACGTGAACACGTACGTTGAATCGCCCCCGAAAACGTGCACCGATCAGTATGCGGAATGTATACATGCACAGACTCAGATGCAGAGACGCACCTACGTAGATGTGCATGCCATTGTTATGTGCGTGGATACCTGTCTGCCTGTCTGCTTTCTTCCCAGCCCGCGTGCATGCGTTCAATACACACAGGTCCGTAGCCATCTTGGCTCACGTCATTTGGTTTGATCCGGTCGCGCGGTGACCTACTCCCAGAGGCGGCGGGAAGCATGCGAGCGGGCTTGGCAGGCCTTTCATGCATAGCGCTGCTCGATACCTTTCGTCGGATGGCTGCAGCCGAGGCCGAAGTGCCCGCTGGCTTCGATTGCGCCATGCGCCACCTGGCAGTTGACTTTGCTCGGAGAGCACAGCCCAGCATCACTCAGCGGCAACTGGAAGGTCAGGAATGTTCGACCTTGCCCATAAGTAAGCAGGCAGATACATCAAACAGGCTTGTTTATGATAAGCCACCACGTGGTTCTAAGCGAGCGAGCGTGTGGCAAGCGGCCGTAAGCTTATATGATGAAGGCCAGCTCCGCTCCTGAAAGGGTGGCGTCAAACATTCCTGGAAGGCTTAGCAGACGCCCTCAACGGCGCGCCTGAGGCGCGGTGCCGGAATGTCTCCGCGGCTGGCTGGCGCCACGCGGCCCAGAGGAGCGCCCCGGCCGCTCCAGGCGCCGCCGAGAGGTCCGTCTTCGCCTCGCCGTCGGGGGACGACGCCAGCGCTGGCACCATCAGCGCGCCCTTGCGCACCATCGCAGCCGCCGTGGCCTCCGCGCGGCGCTGGGGCGCAGGCGTTGGCAGGACGGTGTTCCTGCGCGCTGGGGTCTATCGCGAGGCAGGTGCCATCCAGCTCACAGCCGCAGACAGTGGCCTCACGATCGCTGCGTACGCGGCGGAGGAAGTGTGGATCAGCGGCGCCAAGGAGATCTTCCCGACGTGGCGGCTTTTCTCCGCGAAAGGTGGCAAGAACATTTGGGTCACCGACGTCGCAAGCTCCCTCGGCCCCATCCGAGGCCTCCGGGTCGGTGGCAGGCGCGCCGTACGGGCCCGGTACCCTAACTCCGACCCGGAGACAGATTTGAACCCGGCGGGTTGGGTGAGCACGCCGACGAGGTGGTTGTCGCCTCGGGTCACGCACGTCACCGACCCCCCAGTGGAGTACGTTGTGGATGCGCCCGAGTGGACGCGGCAGGATTCCACAGGCAACGAGGTGTCGTACAGAGCCGGCATCAACGGCTCCTGCAGGCACCTGGAGCCGCCTTACGGCTACTGGTGCAGCGGCCGGCCGTCACGAGCTCCAGACGGGTCCCTCACGCACAGGTGGCCGTCTGGGCTGGTCTTTGAGGGGCATCTACCGCACGCGCCCTACAAGGATCCCGCTGGCGCGATCGTCCATTCGTGCCGGGGGGGCGCGAACTGCTGGTTCACCTGGATGTTCGAGGTGGATGCGCAGTCTGTTGAGAACAAGACGCTCTCGTGGTCCTACGGGGGCTTCCAGGGCGCGGAGGGAGATGATGCGGGGGGCACTTGGTACATCGAAAACGTGCTCGAGGAGCTGGACGTCGCGAACGAGTTCTTCCACGACTCAAAATTGGGCTTGCTCTATTACTTTCACAACGCATCTTCTGGCACTCCCCCGCCGCCGAGCCTCACGTTCGAGGCTGCCACCCTAAAAGTCCTACTGAACGCAACCGGCTCCATGCGGGAGCCCGTTGTGGACGTCACGATTCGAAGAATCAAAAGAACATAAACATAGATTTTCGCAGATTCGCACGGATTTCTTGGATCGAAGCTTCGGCCCGCTGACGGCGGCTCCGGGCGCCGGCCCTGGCGCGCTCCGCGCGCCTGGGAGGGCGGCCCAGGTGCCGATCCAAGAAATCAACACGGACCTCGAAGAGCTGATGTCTATGCCGTTTTTTTCTTCTAACGATCTTTGGCATCTCGTTTCGTGACGCCGCCTACACCTTCATGGACCCGCACGGCATGCCGAGCGGCGGGGATTGGGCGCTGCAGCGGAGCGGCGCCCTCTTCTTCGAAGGTTAGGTGTGCCACCCCTGAGCCTCTTTTCTTCTTGGGCGCCAATGGTTCTCGACTTGTTGAAGGTTTTTGTTCGATGGTTCTTGGATGTTGGTGGAAGCTTTTGGACGTTCGTAGATGCAGATTAGTTTTGTGTTTGCTTTTCCCAGAAACGGCGTGGGTCCAGGGTTCTCTTTTGGTTGGTTAGCACCCCAGCCTCGACTTGCGCAGGGCCGGCAATTTTATTCTGCGATGGATAACAAAGTCGCGCAGGGCCGGCGAATTCAATTGCAAGGACGTCCCGAGCGAAACGCTTGTTTTTGAAATTCCGATCGATTAAACATATGGTAAAGTACACCTGTTCGTTTGTTGCGGATCTCTTGGGCGAAACGCATGTGTTGCAGAATGTGTTGAGGATGTCTTGAGCGAAACGCTTGTTTTCTGTTATAGATCGCTTCTCTCCTGGGGACCGGAATTCAGAGAACGTCTCAGGTGAAGTGCTTGTTTCGATGTGCCAAGGTCTTAAGGATGTCTCGAGCGAGACGCTTGTTTTTACGCATACAGGTTGCCCAGGCAGATGTCTGGCATGAGGATGTGTTGAGAACGCCTCGAGCGAGACGCTTGTTTTCACGTGGCCAGGTCGCCCAGGCAGATGTCTACCATGAAGATGCGTTGAGGATGTCTCGAGCGAGACGCTTGCTTTCGCGTGTCCAGGTCTCCCAGGCGGATATCTAACGTGAGGATGTGTTGAGGATGTGTTGGGCGAAACGCTTGTTTTCACGTGTCCAGGTCGCCCAGGCAGATATCTAACATGAAGAGGTTTTGAGGATGTGTTGAGCGAACCGCTTGTTTTCACGCATCCAGGTCGCCCAGGCGGATGTCTAGCATGAGGATGTGTTGAGGATGTGGTAAGGAGCGAATCGCTTGTTTTCACGCGTCTAGGTCGCCCAGGCGGATGTCTAACATGAGGATGTGATCAGGATGTCTCAAGCGAATGCTTGTTTTCACGCGTCCAGGCGTCCAGATTACCCTAGCAGATGTCTAGCATGAGGATGTGTTGATAACGCCTCGAGCGAGGCGCTCGGTTTCACGTGTTCAGGTCGCTCAGGCGAATGTCTAGCATGAGGATGTGTTGAGGATGTCTCTAGCGAGACGCTTGTTTTCACATGTCCAGGTCGCCCTGGCGGGTGTCTAGCGTGAGGATTGGTTAAGGATGCCTCGAGCGCAACGCGTGTCGCAGTAGAGTACGTCGCAGTCCAACCCGCCCGTCCGTGTAGCGTCCCCTGGCGCGCTGGCGCGTGCTCCGGCACGTCTCTTGCTACGTTCTGGCGTGACGTGCCCTGGCACGTCCCCTAGCACGCCACTCGGCGTGGCACGTTCCCCGGCTCGTCCTCTGTCGCGTTTCCTGGCTCGTCCCCAGGCGTTTCCCCCGCCCGTTCAGTGGCGCTCCCATTGCAACGTCCCTTGGCATGACGTCCTCTGGCCGCCCCATGGCACGTGCTTTGGCACGTCCCGTGGTAGGTCCTGACACGTCCAGGACACGCCCCCTGATTCGTCCCTCGACACGTCCCCTGGCGCATCCCCGATTGCGCCCCTGGCACATGCTGTGGCGCGTCCGTGAGCCTGTGCCCCGTGTCGTGTCGTTAATTTTCGGAGCTGAGTCGGATTTTGAGGTCGAGTTGATTGAACGTCCTCCGCATTTCCACTTCAATTAGCTCTGGGGCGGCTACTATGTGCTCAGGCAGCTCGAGCTCAAGATTCAGATCAGTCCGGTCAGGACTCGAATGCTAAGGAGAACTCGATCCACGACGCTATGGAGCACAATCGTGGCATGGCACATCGCAATTCAGCACGGTACAGCCCAGCAGAGCCCTTGGCACGGTACATCAAGATCGATACACTCAGCATTTCAATTGCCCGTCGGCCAGTCAGGTGTCTTGAAAACGTTGCCACTCTTCTCATGTCTATATTCATTTCCAGGTTCGTGGTTCGATCGTGCCTGAAATTTCATGACTACAATCAGGCTTTGGCATGGCACACACAGCGAAGGCACCGAGCGTGTCACCATCGACCAGTGTCTCGTCACGGGGGTGGACGGCAATGGAATTTTCATCAGCGGCTACAATCGAAATCTGACGCTGCAGGACTCCGAGCTGGCCTGGATCGGGGACTCGGCAGTGGCTGCCTGGGGGTACACCGAGCAGGGTCGGGGCGCCGGCAGCGTGACGCTCCCGAGGGGCGTCGGCATCGACGGGACGGGGGGGGAGCAGCCACGCGGCACCAGGATCGTTGGGAACGTGATGCGGGAGGTGACTCGAGGGAGAGTCTGTCCAATACGTTCCCGTGAAACATTCCCATATGCTCTTCAGCAGGTCGTTTGGAAACTCTCAGATTATCCCAGCTGGTTTCGCCGAGCCTTCCCACGCTGTTCAGGCGCTCTCCTATCCAACCGGATAGCGGCGCGCCCGCAGGGCGCCAGAACGTTTCACGAAGAACGCTAGCAGGACGTAGAGAGAGCTTCCGAACGACCGCCTGGAGAGCTTCCAGGCACGCCTATTGGGAAACGTTAAGAAGAGGCCCTTCGGGACGGGAGGAGGGTGCAGTTGTCCTTGGTTGTCTGTGGTTGTTGTTGTTGTTGGTGGTGGTTGTTGGTTGTTGTTGTTGTTGTTGTGGTTGTGGTTGTTGTTGGTGGTGGTGGTGGTGGTGGTGGTGGTGTTGTTGTTGTTGTTGTTGTTGTTGTTGTTGTTGTTGTTGTTGTTGTTGTTGTTGTTGTTGTTGTTGTTGTTGTTGTTGTTGTTGTTGTTGTTGTTGTTTTTGTTGTTGGTGTTGTTTTTTGTTGTTGTTGTTGTTGTTGTTGTTGCTGTTGTTGTTGTTGTTCGCCTCTGGGGAGGCATGTCGTCGTCGCGGCTGGATTTGGCCAGAATGGCACCCCAGAGAAATCCCGGGCTGAGTGCTCCACAATATGATGTGGTGCATGTACTTGAGGGTGTCGGGAATCGGGGCTGCATTGGCGATACTTCTGCGATAGGCGCCCGATTCCAGACGTTTTCGAGCAGTCATGAAATTCAGGAGGATGAGGTCAACAAACGGAGTTCAGTCGGCCATTCCGCATCCATTCTGGACACCCTCCCGGGTCACCCCATTTCTCGCTCGAAGGTGGGTTTGTACCAGAAGCAGTCATCGATGTTCTTTCAAGCGCAGAGCTGCCAGACCCTTCTCGCGCGGAACATCTTCTACAATGGCCCGCGGGCGCATATCAATTTCAATGACCAATTCGGGGGCGCAAATCGCATCACGCAGAATTTGCTTCTCAACGCTTGCCGTGAAACTGCAGACCACGGTCCCTTCAATTCGTGGGGGCGGCAGCCTTACATCACTGAAATCCGGGATGGGGTTACCCCGTCCATTACTCCAGCGATAACTGAGATCGACCACAACTTTATCATTGGTTCTTATAACACTCAGGAGGCAATTGATACGGACGATGCCAGTGAGTACTTCGAGGCCCATCATAATTTATTGAATCGCTTCGCTCAGTCCGCTGGCCCACCCAGCGTGGCCGGGTCGTGCACAAGGGGCCTATTTGGGAGACTTCTCGGAGTCTGTCGGGAGGCCTCTTCCTGGGGCCTCTTGAGACATCTCTTTGGAGGGCCGTCTGGGGGCCTCTTGGGGCTAACGTTTCGGGCGGCAGGGGGGCTATTGCGGGCCTCTTGAGCCCTCCTGCGGGCCTCCTGGGGGCTTCTTCAGCCTTCTTCGGGGGCTTCCTGGGCCTTAGTAGGGGCCCTCTTGGGCAGTCTGGGGGCCCTCTTGGGAGCCTCTTGGGCTGTCTTGGGGCGATCTTGGAGGCCTCTTGGGCAGTCTTGGGCGGTCGGCAGCGCGAAGAGGCGAAAACGCTGAAGCCCTTCCAAAACCCAGAGAAAATAAATGAATTGTGCCTCTTGGGGCCATCTTGGGCTTGAGCCGTCTTCGAGCGCTCCTGGCCCGAGATCTTGGAGCTTGCCACCCATTCGGGGCCATCCCTGAGCGCTACGGGACGGCGCCCAGGACGATAACCGCCGAATTGAGGCGGCTGGGGGACTTTTCGCCCGGGGACCCCGAGGGGCCAGGGGCCGCCCCGCGCGCGCGAACTAGAAATACCCTGGAGCTCTTACCGCAGATTTTAGCACGCCTCTGGCCCGTTGGGCCGGCGAGTTTGTTTATGGACAGCAAGGATTGAAAAGCGATTTCGAGGGACACGACAATTCACACCATCATAACGTTTACGCGTACATGAGTGAGGCGTGTATAGTGGTCGGAAGCTTCAGGAGTGGCCACGAGGACGCCTTCTTCAACAATACGTGCGTCACGCGTACAGACGGCGATTACGCGTTTTTCTCCTGCGACGGCCCGTCCTTGCCCATCATGCACGACAACCGCGTCTGCACCCCATCGGGCGCCTCGTTCAGGGTCTGCGGCAAAGACTTCAAGGAGTGGCAGGCAGCGGGGCACGACGCGGGGAGCGTGCTGTCCGGGCTGCCGGCTGACGACGAGCTCATTGGTTGGGGTGCTGTGGCGCTGGGCCTGCCCTCACAGCAGGATCGATATGGCGAGCTTGTCGTGTGATACAGCGGGCCGCTTGCACAGGCCCGCCGCCACCGCCTGCTGGAGGAGTGGCCTGTCTGCGGCTCCCTCGAACTGGTGCCGAAAAAAACGTGTGCGCCACAACCTTGCGCTGATCAGCAGGAAGGTATCATCGTACCCATGCGCTCACTTCTTTAAACATTAATCCCTGGGGGGATCTGCTCTTGGGGGGATCTAGTTCTAGAGAACCTAGCTGTTGGAGGGCATGCGCCGCTGCGTGGGCGCTGGGCAGTATCGGGCAAAGTGGGTGGATGGCTGCACAGGCTATTGGGCGAGTTATGAAATTACATCCTCTGCCGCAGAACCACTGCACAACATAGACAACAAATACATATCAAGCAAGCAACAAAACAAGCACGAAAACAAGCAAGGAACGATGCGCGTAGAGAAGCGGAGGAGCTGGGGACGGGGAAGAGATCCGGGGAGATTGGGACACTTGAAGAGGAGCGGGAGGACGGGGGAAGACGGGGTGGAGGAAGGAGCGGACGGTGAACAGCGGGAGGAGGCGGAGGAGGGGAGGAGAGAGGGAGAGGAGGGGGATGAGTGGGAGGAGGGGGGGGAGTTGGGGGATGGAGCAGAGAGAGGAGAGGGGGAAGAGGCGAGCTATGTGCGCTCGCGCCACATCTTACACCCTACCCCATCCAACCCCTCCCTTCCCACTGCGTTGCTCTCTATATGCGGACGCGTGTCATAGCGGACCTGTAACTCCAAACAAAAAACAGCGAGTTGGAAAGGGTGAGGTGCATACATAGGATGATAATTTTGGAAGGTGTCGGATGAGCAGGGGGATGCGCAGGGGGAAAGGAGGAGGATGAGGAGGGGGGAGGAGGAGGACGAGGACGAACGGTAGCAGGTGGAACTGGAGTGGCAGGAGCGGGAGGAGCAGGAGGACCAGAGGAAGGCGGAGGAGGGGAAAAGAGGGGGGGAGGGGGGGGGGGGGGCAACGATGAGGAAGGCTTCGGGTGCAGAAAAGCTGCCCGCGCTGGGGCGAGAGCACCATTCTGAACGACGGGAGCGAAGCCCCGATTTTAGAATAAAGCCCACGCTGCAGCGGGAGCACCATTTTGGAAGGACTGGGAGCGTCCGGAATTGACAGACACTTAAATAATAACGGGCCCCTATTGCTTGTAAAAGATTGCTCGGCGTCGGGATTTCCAGATGTGCATGTCATACTCCTGTCACGTCTCGCTGAGAAAGTCTGTATGTGACCATCTGGGTGTGGGAGCGAGTCAGCGTAGACGACGTTCGCGGCAACGATGACGACGATAGCGACGACTTTGGTAGCGTCCTCCTCCCCGTCCCCCTCTGGGCATATTTCAGGAGAATCATGAGAGATGAGGGAAGCCCACGTGGAAGAAGGAGGGAGCATTGGACCACCAAAAGAGAGAAGACTCTGAGTGACCCCGGGCGTGAGTGATCTGAGTGTGAGTGGGTCTGAGCGTGAGCAAGCCCAGGTATGATTGAGTTTGAGTGTGAGTGAGTCTAGGCATGAAAGGGTCCGAGTACGACTGGGGGGGCTGAGTATACTCATGTGGGAGTATGAGTGAGGCTGAGTGCAAGTGAGTCTGCGCGTGTGAGTAAGTATGAGTGTGAGTAGATATGGGTATGAGTTTGATGAGTACGAGTCTGAATATGAGAAGGTCTGAGTACGAGTGAGTCTGAGTATGAGTGAATATGAAGGTGGGTGTGTCTCAGCGCGAGTGAGTCTGAGTCTGAGTAAGATGAGCGTGAGTCTAAGTATGAGTGATCAGCGCCTCGCCTGAGGAATCCTCACAATCTGCTCTGATAGCAGAGGATCCGGGTGCGCCGAAACAGGCAAACCGCCTGAGAAACCAGCATCTCGCCCGATACATCCTACTCTGAAGTCATAGGACGCTGGGCATGCAAACAGGATACCGCTTGAGACATCCCCTCAATCTGGGCGCGAACGGGCCTGCGAAATACACCCTGACAGCTCCCCCTTGGGAGCGCCTCGCCTGAGATATCCTCACACTCTACTCCGAAATCAGATGGTTGGGCATGCAAACAGGCAACCGCCTGAGACGCCCCCACAATCTAGGCGCGAACAGTCCTGTGACATACCCCGTGGCGGCTCCCCCGTGGGAGTGCTGAAACCAGCGCCTTGCATCAGGGTGAGTATAAGTGGGTACGAGTGTGAGCGCGTCGGAGTGTGAGTGCTTCTTCTGACTGTGAGTCAGTCTGAGTATGAGTAGATCTTGGCATGAGTGAGTCTGAGTGCGAGTGAGTCTGAGTGTGAGTGAGTCCGGGTGTGGTTGGGTCTAAGTATGAGTGAGTCTGAGTGTGAGTGCCTCTGGGTGTGAGTGAGTCTACGTGTGAGTGGGTCTGAGTATGAGTGAGTCCGGGTATGAGTGAGTACGAGTGAGGAAAAGGAGACGAGGAGGAGGAGGAGGAGGGGGAGGAGGAGGGGGAAGGAGGAGGCGGGTGGAGGGCTCTGTTGTCCTTCCTGAGGAGGCGGAGACGTCTAAGTAATAGCAAGACCCCCCCCCCATCTTAGGATCTAGGGGGGACAGAGCGCTGATGGGGGGCGCGCGACTCTCAGGACGTCTGCGGGGGGGAGGGGAGAGTCATGTTCGTATCAAGCCAGCTGCGCTTGCGACTCATCTGACATCCGATCCATCGATCCCATCCCTTCCCAGGGCGCTGATGTTTCTCTGCCCGCGAACGCCTGTCATAGCCGACCCGAGACTCCCACGGAAAGACCACTTCGTGTTTTGCACCATCGAAGAAGGCGGGGCTGCGTGCAGAGGAGGAGGAGGAGGAGGAGGTTGCAGGTGAACAAGAGGATGAGCGGGAGGAGACGTGATGAGGACGAAGAGCAGCAGCGAGAACTAATGCGGAAGGATCGGAAAAAAAGGAGGACAAGGGGAAGGCGGAAGAGGGGAAATGAGAGGGCGACAACGATGAAGAATGAGTGGCCCGACCTGGGGCGAGACGAAAAGCAGCAGCAGGAACTGGAGCGAAAGGAGTGGGAGGAACAAGAGGACCAGGGGAAGGCGGAGGGAGGAAAATGAGGGGGACCACAATCAAGCAATATTCGAGTCCAGAAAAGTGGCCCGCGCTGGGGCGAGAGCGCCATTCTGAGCGACAGGAGCAAAGCGCCGATCCGAAAATGAGGCCCATGCAACAAAGGGAGCACCAGTTTAAAGCACCGAAAGCAATCGGAGTGACAAGAAACATTGGTAAACTCAAGTGTTGTAATCATGTACAACAAAAAATGGGGCGGGAGATCTTCTGAGCCACTTCGGGGGAGGAGGGAGAATAGTACGCATAGTGCTTAATTGTTGAGTGTGGAGGAGGGCGAAAGACAGAGAGAGAGAGAGAGAGACAGAGAGACGGTTAGGAACATTGGTTTAGCGTGTCGCGCCGCGGGTTCTGGACCACCACGCTTCTGCGCGACACGCTATCCACGTCCAATTCCCCAAGCGTCAACGTGTCGAGCTTTTCCCAGCCTCCCGCCCCGCGGAGCGGAGCGACATGCTATGCGCTCGCAGGGCATAACGTGTCGCAAGGGGCCGCCGCCGCGACACGCTCAGCAAAAGTTCCGAACCGTAGAACATGAAAGCAGGGGGGAAAGAGAGAGAGAGAGAGAGAGCAGGCGGAGTGGGATGAGCGGGAGGAATGTGAGGAGGCGGAAAAGCGGAGGAGAGAGGAAGAGGAAGAGGAGCAGCGAAAGGAGGGGGAGGAGTGTGGGGGGAGGGGAGGCAAAGCCAGGGAGGGAAGGAGGAAGTGGAGGAGAAAGAGAGGAGGGGGAGAGAGAGAGATGGCAGGGGGGGACGGGAGGACGAAGCAGAGCAGGAGGAGAGCCGACACCCCCGAGGCTCCTCGCCGCGCAGCCCCCGACCGCGCACCGGCGGCCAGCGGCTTCCGCGCTCGGCGCCAGGGTGGAGCAGCTGAAGCGGCAGCTGCGGGGAGCCGAAGCGGACGCGGCCGCGTCCGCCCTAGAG